CATCCACCACCGCCACCGCCGCCCCCAACCAACCATCCACCGGCGCTGCCCCCCTCCCCCTCCTCCCAACCATCCACCACCCTCCACTGGACCGCAAGCCACTGCCGTCGTCGCCCCGAATCGTGCGTTTCCTCCTCGAGCAGGCTTCACCGAGCATGTGTCCGCCTCCTCCAGAAGCCCCCGAAGCAGCAGATCGAGCCCCTCTGCACCGGCTGCCCACGGCGCCTCCGTCCCGAAGCTGCAGATCATCCAGTCCTCCACTCCTCCATGGTGAGCATCTGAATGGCTGGAATGTGTTCTTCTGAGAGAAAAGTGCAGAGTTGCATAAGTTACATACTGGTCCAAGCTCACTCTGCTCGCCACTAGTTCCAAGTACTAAGGGATTGCTATGTTGTCTGCATTAACACCATCATTTACACCGAGTGAACACACTTAATTTTCTAAGGCATCTGCTACTCTATTATAGTCTCTCCTAGCCAAAACTGAAACAAAACGCATCGAAGTTCTGAATCCAAAAACTCTTTTCAGCTCATATTTGGGCAGACAGTGGAAGGATCAGTGTGTCTTCAGATTCAGAGTACTCTGAAATGTTACACTGGTTGCTGTTTATCTTCAGATTTTTTTAACTCTAGCTTTAGAGTATTATGCGAAGCTACAAGATGTGTGATCTATTGTCAGAACATTTTTGTTAGATCTTTGGTGTGCTTACCAAGAATGAAATAAAAGATGATCCTTCGGATTTATTTGTTGAGACAAGCATCTCATATATGTTTAGCACCTAGGTGGGTTCTGCTTCAGTAAATCAAATCATACATAGCATCGCTGGATTGTCGGGTTTTTTTGAGAGAATCCTGAATGGCTGTATGTTGCGGGTGGTCGGCGGCCACGCAGCAGGTTGATTGGGCCGGGAAAGTTTTTTGAGGGAAGAAAAGGATGGGAAAGATGTACACACAGCTGACTGACTTTGGTTTTTTCTTTTATCTCTTTATTATTATTATTATTGTCACACACACACGACTAGCAAAGTTTTTGGATGGGCTGGTATGTACAGTATATACCTAGTATATATAAAATTAAACTTGTGATGATGTTGTACTTGTGATGATGTTGGCAACAATTAGTGTTTATGAAGAAGAAGAAGAATAAACATGCTGCTACTGCTGTTATGCCTGTATTCACTTCTGCTGCTGCTATACTTGTGATGATGTTGTACTTGTGATGATGCTACTTGTGATCTTCTGAAATGACCCATTGGCGACTTCATTACGCGGGGATAATGATTTTGCAGGTACCCCGAGAGGCCCTTGAGTTTGCCGGAATGTCGATTAACTTCCGTTCCGGCAAATTTGGGTACTCCATATGTCCTATTTTCAGCAAAGGTCATGCTGAAATTTTCCGTGAATTTTAGCATGACTTTGCTAAAAATAGGACATATGGGGTACTTGCGACTAATGCATGGTCCGGGGTATCTTAGTATTTAATTAAGTAGGATCAACTGCCTCTTGTGTTATACATATAGAAGTGTGATATCAACTCATAGTTATTACTAATGTCAATTGCTCGTCATCATAAACCCTAATCTGGTAGGATGACCTACTAAAAAAGCCCATACCACATATTCTATTTGGATGGCCCTGCTAACCCTTGACCATAAATACTTGAGATGGATGTAGCAGGCTTAAAGAAAGAAATGTTTTTAGGCCAACTCCACTGGGCCTGGCTGAAAATGCACAAGTGTGCATGACTAACAATATTCTATTGTAAAGCTAAACAGGAAAGAGGAACCACTCATCCTAACCATTTGCTCTCAAAATTACCACTTCACTTCTTACTACTGAAAATCTTAGGCCATCTCCATTCACCAGTAGCTCAAACCAGTTCGAAGGGCGTGTTTTCACCACACTATGGATTATCTTATTGGAACCAATAGATATTTGCAGAAGTAACTTCCTATTCACCTAAAGGAATGAATTATCCAAATCTTGATTCATCCTCATTAAAGCTTTCCATCTGAATGGATTATGCTACCTATCTATCCTCTACAAGACCCTCCACCTATGTTTCTAATTAGATACCTTTCTTTCAACTCTTAACCAGTTCCATTTCTCCATTTCTCCACCCTCCATTTCTAATTAGATACCCGTCGGGCGCTACGATTCTAGTTGTACTAGCGATGCTATATGTATGATAGTATTCGAGGTGTATTAGTGATAATATTCGACGATGTACGGACGCAAGAGATGATGTAGTTTTGAATTATGAACGTAGGAAATGTCATCATCGGACGACGAAAGTCTCCCGGGGGAGTGCGGCTGGTGCCACGATGATCGAGGTCTGTGTGACAGGCCTCACCTGGACGATGATCGGCGATTCAGCATTAAGCTCGAGGAGACCTTCGAAGTTGAAACGGTACGCAACAACGACAAGTGTTTTTTCATAATTAAGCATGACTTCAACTATTTCAACGTGTAATTTTCATCTTTTACAATTCGAGTATAGCTTATCCCATGCCATGCAAGACGTTATGTCTTGGAGAGGATGGATTTTAAAGACCATGAAAATTATTATGAAACAAAGAAAAATCACCCAAGGACTCATCATGATGTGGATTTTGAAGTAAATCTGTATAATTATGGGAGTGTGACCCATTTTGGTTGCAAAAATTGGGAAGCATTTTGCAAGATGTATGGTTTTGATGAGGGTATGCTTGTCACCATGGATCTTGGTGATCCTGACATCGACCAAGACAATATGGACATTTGGGTCCTTGTTGATACACCTCCAGTTCTACCGCTATGTGAGTTTCTCAGACATAGTTAATTATTAACTAATTTATATTATTCATTTCAAAATAGTTGACAGCTTATTTTGATTGTTCAAACAATGTGCGGAACATGCTAGACAAAACCTACTACACCGATGGCTCTGAGTTAACTTATCAGGAGAAAAATCATCTGGTCGGATTTTGTACTGATCTTGAGAATTACAATATCTACAATCAAACTCCTCAACATTATGGTCAATACGTGCCACTAGTGCACGTGTTGAACTATGGTAACTACCATGGAGATACCTTGGTAAGATTTTTTACAATTACGACATCCATGCATCTTTTGCATACTTCTAAAACTAGTACATCATTGCTAACTATGAAGTTATTACTATGTTTTTCAACAGAGAATCCCAGAGGATTGTGTGCCTCATTTGATGTATCAGAATGGTAGCCTTCGTGTTTTGAACATATATCCAGGTCATCCTACGAATCTCAACTGTCCATACCGGATTTCTAAAAGAAGTGGAGACATGCTAATCAGAGAATGGAAAAAATGTATGGACAGTCGTAAGGAGGTTCTTGGAAGCAAATGGAAGCGCCGCGCAAAAATTGGAGACAGGATGATCTCCATTCTCCATAATGGAGAGTCAGGGTCTATATTGTTTTATGCTATTTTACCTTAAATAGGGTATTTAGGTCCTGCCTAATACTGATGATCATGTGCTAAGAACAATTAAGTAGGGTTGGTTCGATGACTATCAGGATGATGATCGTATGACTTGTTATTAATAACGAGTAGAAGTTGTATGATGATGATTAGTAGGACTTGTTATTATGATGATGCATGATGCGAGCATGAAGAGTTATTATATATTTGTGGGTGAAATGAACATGGATTTGATTGAAGTGAAGGCAACATGCATGTGGTGCATGTCAAAAGTAGTACAATCCAAACTTGATCAAGTTAGGATTAGTATTACTTTGGACATGCACCACATGTTGCCTCAGTTCAATCTAAGTCATGTTTAGGCATAGCAATAGCAGTAGCACGGAGATAAGAGAGGACACATCTCTCAATTATCTCCGAATGCAGTATTAATTTCGACAAACTCGCTACTCGCGGTCTCGAGACTTGTAATGTTCTAACTTTGTTCGGTCTTTTGAATTCGGAGACCAATATGATGAATTATATTCGGAGACTAATCTTCTATTATATTTGATGAATCTGCTATTTATATGTTGTGCTGTCTATATTCTGTGCAGTAATATATTTTGTAACCTGTGCAAATATTAGAAAAGAAAAAATAATTCCTAATATTCATACTAGTGGCGCACCATACAGCACATTAGTGGCGCACTGCTATAAAAAAATACTAGTGGCACATTATCTGTTAGTGCGCCATTAGTAACCCAGAGCACAAGGTAAATATGCCCCCCTGGGAGGCATACTAATGGCGCACCGTGTGACTTACTAATGGCACACTTCCTGGTGCGCCACTATAGTCTCGTATACTAATGGCGCACCAGGGGTGCGCCATTAGTATATGTTACTAGTGGCGTGATGTAGTGGTGCACCTGTAGTGCGCCATTAATGGCCAAAATAGGTGCGCCACTAATAAGCCTTTTCCTAGTAGTGATGATGTCTAAACTATGCAATGCAAGACACCATATGCATGATATGAGCAGTAGAACCGTGCCAAGTTAGAGCATACACCTCGGTGGGGGAATAGGACTGGTCATCTATCTCTGAATCCATCTCTAAGGAGCTATCGGGACCTAGCAAGAGATCTGCTTCGACGGGTAGCACTATCTGTTCTGAAGGCCTTGTTTTCACTCCAGATTTTTCCATCACCCACTCAAATGGCTGATTCATAGGAAGAGTAGTTTAATGTACAAACATTGTCGAGAAATTGAAATTTAATGAAGAAAAGGATGGGCAAGATATCATTCAAATATATGATGCCTGGTTAAACAGGATGGCATTGCACATTTCACATATATTATGGCTGGCTAAAAGACATGCGACTGCATAATTCCCATATATGATATTGAAACTAAACAGGTGGCATTACAGAACATGTCTAAGCTAAGCAGATGACATATATGATGTCGAAAGTAGGCACTGCAAGGCAACATATGCATGATATGACTAACATCAGCATGCCAAGTTAAAGCAAACACCTTGGGGGTAAATAGGAGTGGTCAGCTGCGTCTGAATCCGCCTCAGAACAAATATCTTTCTCTGGATTACAGTTTGTAGAGGGGGGGGATGGTTTGCCATTGAACCCACCATGGAGCGATGTCTGCACGACATTGTATTGTCGCACAAAACTCTTCTCTTTTTCTCTACATGTTTAGCATGACTGTGTACAATATCGGTCATGCATACAAAAAAATATGGTGAGATTATGTAAGGAGAGCATGCAGAAATCTAGAGTAATGGCAACAACCAGTGGATGGATCCAAAAATAATGATAGCAGGCTGATGATTGCTTTAATTTAATAAAAAAACAGATGATGATTGCTTTACTATTTGTTTCCCACCCAAGATGAACAACATAGGCATACCCTAGGTGAACCATATATTAGACAGAGATACTATTCATTGTTGCCTCGATATGTGCCCCACAACTAATTTAGAACTCAAGTTTGAACATCAATTTGGACCTGACTTAGAGTCTAAGAGGTGAACAGGACAATAAAGTAGCAGGTAATATTAAGCAATGCATAATGTAAGCAGAAACAAAAGAGTGTGACCTCTCTTGTGGACCTGTGTACTCCTTAGGTTCATCTGCTGAGTCGGTGATGGTAATGCCGTTGTGGTGGGTGCCGTCGGCAGGGAAGGAGATCTAAGGCGGTGAAAGACGGTCAGGAGTCGTGATGTCTGGTTTGGTGGATACTTCTATCGATGGAGCAGCTCAGGTGAGGTGGACGACATCGCGGCAGGAGTAGGACAAACCACACAAAGTTTTCTTCGACACCTACCTGTAACTGAAGTAATTCTGTAAGGGCTCATTTGGCTTGCATGATTCTAAAAAACGCAGGGATAGGAGGAAAAACACCGGAATAGGATAGGAATGCACATGGGAAATAGAGCATTTGCGAACACAGGATTTCTGTCAACTTGGGTGTTTGGTTCACAGGAAAAGGAGGAGCAGAGGAATGCAAAGAAACATGGCCAAAATAAAGTGACACCATATGAAAGCGTGTACAGTTAGAATGTTATTCTGCCACTAATGCACTTGGTCTTGTTTTCATGCATAGGATTTTGAACAGTAGGTCCAGGTGGATGTTTTGCTCCATTCCTTTCAACAAAATGCATGAATAATTGAATAGTAGAGTGCCGTAGGAAAATTTCCTATTGCTATGTTTTTCTGTTGAACCACAATAGCCCTAATGGATCGACATGAATGTAGAGAATAAGTGATGCGACAAGTGTACAACCTCTTTGCTGTAGCCGTGTTGACCTCAGCATCATTGGGTTGGTTGCTGAAGAAGTTGAGACAGAGGTGGTTGTCGGAGGTGTGGAGGAAGATCTGAGGAATCTGTAGACGGCGTCTAGGGCACTGCTTTGTTGTGATGGATCGTTTCATCCTTGGAGCAGCTCCGGTGAGCCGTAAGACGTCAAGGCTGAAGTAGCACAAGACAGACATCATTAATCTCAAGTGGGATTCTAATAGCATCTCCAATAGATGATGTAAAATGCATTACCAAAAAGTGATACATGTAAAATTTACATCACCAAAAACCACCTGCCTACAACAGATGAGGTAAAAATTGTTGACTCTGAACTTAACTGTCGAAACTGAAATTTACTGTGGAATCTGAATGTTACTGTCGAAACTGAATGCAGTGGTAGCAGAGAGGTACTTCACATGGGATAGTTTAGGGAGGGCCTGCAGTTCATCTTCAACCAGCAACCCCTGGGCCGCCAGCCACCACCGGCGCACGCCGCCTCACCGCCCCGAAACAACTCCCCACCGTTGGTCCGTCGGTGCCTTGCCGCCCCGAAACAACTCCCCACCGTCGGTCCGCCGCTGCCTCGGCCATCCCTCTAGCCCCCGCGCCAAGCTTTTTCTCCGGCGATCCCCACGCCACCGCACCCCCACCGCCGGCGAGCAGCACCCCACCCAGAACCCTAAGATAGATAGTGGGGTACCTCTCCGGCGAGCCCCCTCCCCGCTGTGGGTGGTTCTTCCTTAACTCCGATGAGACCCACCACCCCCTGAAAATCGACTGACCCAAAAGTCGATTCAGTCGATTGAAGTGTAGCTAAATCGGAGCAGAGCAGTAGCACGAGCGAGGGGGAAAGCAGCAGCGCGAGCGAGTGAACGAGCGAGAGCCAGAGCAGCAGCAGCAGCGCGAGCAAGCGAGCGAGAGCCCAGGCAGCAGCAACTGGGCAAGCAAGCGAGCAAGTAAGAGCCAGAGCAGCAGCAGCAGCGCGAGCGACCGAGCGACAGCTGGAGCAGCAGCAGCAGATCCGGCTGGTATGGATGCTGTTGGTGTTTTGGGAACGGGGTCCCCAGACATGCCTGCCTACGGCCCGCGGCGTGGCTCCACCAGCGGCTCTGGACGGCCCATCTTCACCAGCAAACACTCAAGACCCTCGCGAGGGTCCAAGCCTCGCGAGGCGGACGATGTAAGACCTCCTCAGGGGCGGCCTCACCAGGCTGGCTCGCAAGGGGCGGAGAGATCAAGGAAAGGGACACCACGCGAGGTTTGTGTGACGCAAGCCATGACGACTGGAGCCAGGCGGGCGCCAATGCGTGCAGTGTCCTCGTTTCCTCTTTGGTGCTAAAGAGGCAAGCGCAGGCGGTGAGTCCCGAGGCATCAGGCAAAGGTTTCCGTATCGGTGCAACAAGACCAAGACCAGCAGGACAGCAGGACGGAGGTCACCGTGGAGCCCAAGACGGCATCACCACCAAAGCCTTTGGCGGGCGAAGACTACTTTTGTCAGGATAACTTGTACTAGCTGCCCCCCTTCAAATTGGCTGTTGTGGAATCCCTTCCCACCTAATATTTGGGAAGAGGACCCGGGCCTCTATATATATAGCACTAGCCACCACCATAGAGAGGGGGACATCTCATCAGACCTTGGACCAGATCCATTCCACCAAAGACCACCATACTCACCAAGCACAAGAGCACCTCTCCTCAGGAGGATGTTCTCCCCTTGTAACTGTTCATCCTTAGCCCGAGAGGCAATCCACCATGCCACACTGGATTAGGGTATTACACCACATCGGTGGCCCGAACCAGTATAAACTCTCGCGTCTTGTGTTCTTTTGGTTCGTCGAGCTAGACCGTGAGATCATGATATGCGCGAGCTAGAGAGGGGGAGAGATCTTCGTGTGCACCCCAGTGTTCGAACTTCAAGGGTTTTGCCGAAACCCGAAATCTGACATTTGGCGCGCTAGGTAGGGGTGCGTCAGAGCTTCTCTTCCGCCAGTTGATCCACCGACACCCCGCGGTTCCGATGTCCGGCGACCCAAGGACCAACGCCGACCACTGGGCAGCTTGGCCGGCCCGGGCTGCACCGTCCGCCCAAGAAGACCTCAACCCTGCGCCCCAGGCAGCACGCACACCGCCAAACGCTGTCGGGCATGGGCGGCGCAGTCAAACTCCACCCACCCTCACTCCACGACAAGCGTGGACGGCCGCAAGGGCCTCAAGCCACGCTGCA